ATCAAATCACACATATAACATTAACAAATTAAATAATAATCATTTCAAAAACAATCATTCAACTTAATTAGATTAGCTTTGTTAACAACTACCTGAACCATTTTACTGGAGTGAATACTTGTATAGTGTTAATTAACGAAACACGATACGACGACAAACAAAATTTTAGCTTAGAAAGTTTCTTGAAAATTTACCACTGAACATTTAAACGTTCTGTGACTGTTGGGCCTAGCTTAGTCAACACTAAATATAAATCTAACAAAACTTAACAGAAATTATTGCTAGAAATATCTCTAGAGCATGGGAATTACCATTATTTGGGATGCCTATTTCTTAATTTATAATTATTTTAGTCAGAATTTTTCTTAATGTCAATTAAACAGCAAACAATTAGCACACTGCGTAGACTGTTGGTCGCGCAAACCGTTATGCTGGTTTATTATAATGCATATGGTTAATGCCGCCGTTAGATACAAGGTTCAGGATTTCCCTGGTCACCCTAAACATAGTTTTATATAAGCATGAAACTACCGTTCATAAGATCCAGTTTAATTCAATTACAAGTAATCATGATAATGATTACTAAATTATTATTGCCATACGGCAAACGGCAGCCAAGTAATTTTGCTTTAAATAAAGTAAAAAAAAAAAAAGAATTCTCCCAATGCTAAATGATACATCGCACCATCCAACAAATTTATTATGTTGTTATTATGTTACACAAACTATGCGTTATATATTCATTACTACATTTGTATATTATCACTTACATTGATTCCCACAGATATGCCTATGCAAGCAACAGAAATCGTCAGCGATGAACGATGTTCGCACTTCCCCCAAACTCAGGTCGGCTCGCCTACATGATCAACATGAGGATCCATGATGACGTTCGATAGTAAAACTGATTCTTCACCTCCAGGCACCACGTAATAATAAGTCGGTGTCTGTCCGACAACCTCATGTATTCCTACTGTTCCCACGGTCTCTGTTTCAGCAGCTTCGCCCGTTTGAAGCTCATCAATAACCGGATTCTCAGAAACTTCGAGGACCACCTGCTCCTCGCCGACTCCACCTGTGCTTATGGTTGTGAGCACCTGATGGGGTTGCTCCTGCTGCTGTGTTTGATGTTGTTGTTCTTCGGGTAATCGAATGCTTTCAGAGGGAAGCGCGGGAGAGCAGGCAACCTCGGGATACCGATTTCGCAAGGTAGCTTTACAAGGTAGAGTTAATAGACCCGTTCCACCAACGACTTTCAGGTGGCGATACGCTTTTGGGGAGATTTCCATAAGTACTTTGGAGTGACGGGTCATAAATGACGAATGGGTGACGATTCTTGATTTGTATGCAAGAATTTGCTCGAGCAGAAACCTTGCTTTGGTTGAGGTGGCCGCATCGTCCACGATTGTGGCCAGCTTATCAATGAGGTCTTCTCGCGCGGCTCGGGTGGCTAGAACTGGTGAAACATTATGGCAGTGCTCGAGCAATCGGCGCGTTAACGCACTCATGGCCCGGCTAGGAAAATCAACTTGAGTGGATACCGAATCTTTCTGCCGGAGGTCCTTGCCGGGGCTGATGTCAATATCCCAGACGTCCAGTTCAGCATCGTCGTAAGCTGACTCTTTTTTCGCAGCTGTATGTTGCGGTGTACCACCACCATCATCACGAACGGATTGTTGTTCCATGGATGTCCGCAGTGTACTCCTATCAGTGTACCAAGTCATGTTTCCAAGACTATTGAGAGCTGAAGTATGATCTATAGGCAAATTACTAGAGCTCTGGCTAAGCACTGAGATTGGTTCTGTTGTCCCTGATGTTTCGAATTTCGATAGAGAATGATTCTCCGAAATTGCCGCTGAAGTAGCACACGTACCGATGGCATCGGACGTTTTTGTAGATACATTGTTGACATCACTCGCACCGTATTGAAGCGAATCTTGCAATTTCACCTCAATGACAATCGGTTTTTTGCTATGCGAAAAGGCACGTGCTTGACCGTTTCCGCCACCGGTTACTTGCGCCGAAAGCGTCTGAGTGCGCCGCTTAAGAATAGCTGGTGCCCGGCGAAACGGTCCTGGTTTTGACATTGTCAAGCCGTTGAATGTGTTGGCCCAGTACCGCTTTCGGATCCCTTGCCAAATGAATTCTCTGGCTAGCGCGTATATCTATCTATATCTACATCAATGAAATAGAAATGAAAAAAAAACTGCTCAACCTGACGAATCAGAGGCATAACTTACATTGCGTGTTGTCGATGTGAAGAGCAGCGCTTGATGGTATAAACAGTCACTTTTAATGATCATTCGATGGCCAGCGATGCGGCTGCATCCATAACAAGTAGGCGTACCACAAACAAAGCAAAGTATCATGCCAATTAGAGATCCAGCTTTGTCTATGCTTCACGTTTGCCGTTGCTAGAGAAGAATCATACAGCTAACGTCAGCAAAAACGTATGATGCACAATAAATTTGGCAACTAAGTTCCTGTGAGATTGTGCATCTATTTATGTCTGGCATTGTTCTTAATAAGTACATAACCTGTGAACGAAAACAACGCCCGTGAACGCCTAATGTTCGAAAGCGCCTCTCGTAAACGCTTCTGCATGTAGCTGTCAAGGCGGACTCACTATAACTTCCGGCGCGCTTCATCTCTTATTTTTCTCTACTCATGTCCATCAAGTAGGTCGAAGAACTTGCGGTAACCATCGAGCCGTGCCGGTTTCCATCCATCGACTGTGTGGTGCTGGCAGTGCGGTCCAAACCTCCATTTGAATTATGCGTAGATCAGTGGCGGACAGGGGGTAAATTTTGCCTGCTGTAGCGTGTGTCGATGTATCGGCCTGCATCTTTGGGGATCAACAGAAATTGCGAACTCCGTGCCTACCCAATATTTGAGGTTTCGCCCCAACAGCGGATCCGAATGTTATAAGGATAGCGTATGGATAATTAAGTACTGGCGCGGTGCAAGTGAGTGCCAGAATGACCCCGTTCGGGTTTTCTACGGCTTTCGCAGCTACTGTGTTCGCGCTTTGCGGACCGAGAGCCGATGGGATTTCGCACTGGATAGCATCTGACGAGGGGGAGATTCGGCCACAGGTAAAAAAGGCAGCTGAATTAAAATCAACCGCGAATCTTTCTCGCTGATGTACAAGTACTATTCATTGTTATAATTATTTTCTTTATTAGAGGGCATTTCAAGCTGATCCCAAATGGAGCTGCGGTCATAGAAGGTTCAATTTTTTTTTTAAACCACAGTTACTTCTATTAAATATCATAATATTACCGTTGTACATATCGCATGTGCATACAAACCCTCGAAAGGCGTGTTACACAAAGCAATCCATATGATGACTTTTACTACAACCAAAACAAAGTTCGGTATTATCGATAAAGGTCGATCAGTTACAATTATGCACTAATATTTACGCTGTTGTAGAACTCACAATAATTTGTGAAATATGTAATGGTTGATGAAAAAGTGGTAACTGATGGTAAGCTCGAGTTTTAGGGCGTATTCTCAAGTTGTTTTGACATTGTTCTTATGAGTGAACTCAAAAAACATACGACCCCACCGAGCTGATTAACCGAAAATTAATTAGCGTGATATTGATTACAAAAAAAGAACATTTTCGTTTTACCGAATGAATATTCATTTCACCGTTTCTCTTATATTCATTTTTCACCATTCCGGCGTCAATGATATATATATATATATATATATATATATATATATATATATATATATATATATATATATATAACTCTTTGCTATCCTAAATGAGTTCTATATGACTAATTTCGCTTTAATTGCTTTAACTCCAGTCGCCGTCTATCTTCGCGCTTCGGTCTCCAGGTGACCTGTCTACCATCCAGAGACAAGAAGAGAGGCTGGAAAATGTGAAAGCTTTGCGTAAGGAACTGCTCCAGAGAAAGGTACAACGGGCCTGTTAAAATAGCCTTGTCGTTGCCTGTCCTATTTTATTTGCAATTTTCAATTGATTAGAACTGTCCGAACATTACATGAGCACAGTGACATCTTAGGTGCGGCTAAGGCGTGAATAGAGTAAAAAGCTTTAACCAATTATTTGGACACAATTAGGAAATTAGAAGCTCTAAAGATGATTTCCCCTGAGGCTTAGCGGTACGTGGAAATGTTTACCGAAGCCTTAATTTTTGTTATGTAGATACATTAAAATAAGCCAATGAACCGTTTCACTATAAATATATCGCGCATGTAATAAGTGGCACAAAGACGTGTGGATGGCCCAGTGATTAGGCGTCAAAATAAAAACATACATGATTTTTATTATTAACTTTCGATTTATTTTAGGAAGAAATTGATCGATGCGAAGAGGAAGCAGAAAATACTGAAGACCGTCTATATGCAGAGGACACCGATTGTCAGGTGTTGTGACCTTTCGCTACTAACTGTAATTGACTAATCATCAATTGAGAATTAGTTTCTCAATTCATCCTTTTTTTTTTTTTTTAAAGAGCTGCTTCTTTCAGAGAACAGCCAACTCATCTTAATGTAATTTAATTGATATACGTGATCATTTACCTCATTTCAGGCTGCAGGTATACCGTTAACGGAGCTAGATCTCTACGTCTCTACTGTTGTTCCCTTTGAAAGTAGTCTGCAACCTAATAGAGAAAATCCTTCCGGGGGACGAAGATCTGGTGGTAACCCAGACCTAGAGTCATGGAACCCGCAACCGGATTGTACGCAGCATATGAACCTCGACTTTAGTATGCACGCCTTCGAACATCTTATGGTAGGATAATCTATTGACGACCCCATTGCAGTAACGCCGGAAAGTAATCTGTTGTCATTAAAATATCTTATAGAACTAATTTGCGCATGTATTTCTAAATTGTCTACTGTTATCCGATAATAATTAATATTTAGTAAATTAATCGTGCAAACGGATCCTTGTAGATAAATGGGGCAGTTCTCCTAAACTTATTCCATTCAGGCTTATGCAAAGTATAAATTGCGTAGCATCTGCTGAACTTTGTTATTCGAGTATTTTAATTACCTGCACATGTGACGCCTACCATAAAAAAAGGTGCATTTTTGCCTATATCCGGCCCGCCCGTTGAGCAGCCACGCTGCCGCCGTGTCGCTTCCGAGAGTTGAGCATTCCTTGCTCTTCTTTCTATTTTGCATTTTTTTTTTGATTGCGCAGGGTGTCCGTGAGAGAGCAAACCTTACCATGGTTCCGGAGACGGGACTCCATAAAGCAATTGCCGGAGGAGTAAACACTGATGTTGAAGATCTCGATTACTTCGGCAGGCGTATCAGCCAATTATTAAACACTGAAGCAAATTGGGTAGGTGGTATTATAGAAACTTCGTGTACAGCTTAAGACCCATTTAATGATATGACATTCTTCAATGATTTTTAAACTGCAAAGCATTTTCTCACCTAAAAAAATGCAGTAAATTATAATAAATTTTACACTGTTTGCATTGTATGCAGGTGCAGGGATTATCTTACATACCCATCAAACTCATCCGTTAGAAAGTTTATATTGTCTGAAGGATTGCGCCGTGTTTGGAGCTCTGTAAAGCACAGTATACCCACATACCACAAGTTATACCAACTAGCTATTGTGAATATCGAGCACAAAAACACTAGTAAATATTAATTTGACTTTTTGCAAACAGAAAGCAAGACAAAAAGACACCTCATTCATGGTTGTATATTCTGTGCTTTTGTTGAGAACCTCTAACAGACAGCCTTTAACCTAGCGGCGTTGTACTGGCGTGAGAAGGGTTCGGCACACGCAGCGGTTGAGTGTCTCCGTCGAGCGTTGCACGTGTCACCGCATGAAGTCAAAGACGTCGCGCTAATTTCCCTCGCGAATGTCCTGCATCGGGCTAGATTAAGTGACGAAGCGGCCATTGTCGTTCATGCCGCTATTGACATTGCGCCAGATAATGCCATTTGTCACTTTACACTTGGTAAGTGGTAACAGCTTTACCTACCTTTCTACATCTCATTTACCAATTTCTTTGGGTGAACGAATATGAAAATAAAGGTTTGCCCGACTCCAACTAGAACTGAAAGAGGGCAAAGGGCAAAGCGCTTTTTTCAGATGGGAAAAATGATGCGTACTAACAGCGTTTGTTTGCTATTCATAGATTGAGTTTACTCACTTATCTGTTTACTGTGCAGGTAATATCTACGCTGTTTTGGCAGAGTACAATAAATCCGAGATATGCTATGAGAATATGTTGCGTTTACAGCCAGAGTTCCGTTCGGCTCGTCAGCGTCTTCATGCTGTTCGCTGTCACGCTAAAGTTGAAGCCGCTCTTGAAAGGCAACATCATCAACTTCAACAGGTAAATATACAAAAGTGAAACAATTTCTGTTCATTCTAACAAATAACGAATGTACATGATTCTTTGATTTTAGTTTTTAAGAGCTTGGTTGCGTTTGATAATATATATACAGATATGACCCCATGGCAAGTGTTTACCTATTTGGTCGCTGTTAAAGTTCTACTTTCTTCACCATCGCGGTGTAAATGCTATATATATATATATATATATATATGTTGATCATTTTAGGTGTTAGAAAAGCTGAAAGAATACCAGCATCGAAAGGAACTCTATGTACAGCTAATGGGCCAGCTGGTTGAGGAGGCAGTACCCCCTAGCGGTTGGGATGGGAAGGACTGCAATATCTATCCGAGTGGTTCCGGAAGCGGGTCGTCGTCGTCAACGTCAGACAGCAGTCGATCATCTGGTGACTCTTCTCAACCAAATGATTCTACCAGGACTTCTGGTGCAACGACTGGAAGGGGTAGTAGGAATGTTGACGGGGAAAGTTCAACAAACTTTGGAGGTGACATCGGTTACTGCCTTGGATCGCCAGACCAACCTCTGGGTTTTCCGTTTTATGACAATATGATTGATCTCCAGTTCAATGTGCGGTCTCAGGATCGCGAACGGGCGCGACAGTCCTGCGTTGAAAAACAGCAAAAATCCTAGTAATTATAATACAGAGAAAACGGGGAAGGGCAGTAAACTATGCAGCAGATATATATATTGCAATCGGTTAGAGGTTCGCGAAATGAACAACGTTACCTTGTTGTTATGACACCACAGTTGAAATGGGCTTATACCTGTGGCACTGCTGAGAATTAATAGTCCTTTAGTGCTATACTCGTCATCTTGCGATTTTAATGAGTATTATCAAGTAAAGTAGTGATCTTCTAGGCTACTTTTGGTGACCCTTTTGTTTAACCTATATGAAACCTTTTGACTCCTTTCACCTTATTAGTATCTCCACTGTGTTAAATAAGTATGTGAAAACGGCAATCATTTCGGTAATGGCATATGCTAAGTCAAGGAAAAACTGTAAGGGATATGTGGTAGACGCTAGGCCGATAATATATACGACGACGACGACGACAAAGCAGCAAAATCTGTGTCTCGTAAATGAATGTAGAGATACCGATAACTAGCCTTTGTAGACAAATAGAAAGCTCAGGACGAAAGTAGGGATTCGATTCAGCTATGTGAACCCCGTTGCTAATCCCAAAACAAGCTTGCTTTGCTTTTTTCTGTAGGAGCCCTACTGAATCAGCCTGGCCATACTCGCCACCACCTTTTTAAGTACAGTGGAGCCACATTATAAAAGAGACAAGTTTGTTCTGTGTAATGTTAGAGCCTAAAAAAAAATGAGGTTTACTCAGTCGTGAGTATGTGGATATCATCAGCCTCATTTAAAGATATATGTTCCACGCTGAACTAAATCGACTCGTAACAGTAAAATAATAGGCTGAGCAAATTAACACTTGAAAAATAATTAGGTTAATGAAAACATTTGTTTTCAACAACTTGTTGCTAAAAGCTTATGATGTCTTTATTACTTGTTTTCCAACCATTATCTACTCGCCACTTGTCCATGGCTGAATTTGCCGTCTTTCTGTTGTAAGCAAATTTGTATTCGTTTTATGTAGACATGCATTATATAATAATATGTCTGTACGATAATACAACGACCAGGCACAGCGTAAACCAAATATTGAATTGAGTTGAACGGATAAGTTTGGGACATTTTTCGACAACAGAACTTGTGTTTCAACTTCTATATAAGGCCATCACACTAAGAGATTAACTGCAAACTCAATGAGATTTTTAGATTGCCATTAATGATGGTTTTAAGCCTATATCCCAAGCGCGAGGCGGATGACTAAGTGCCCTAAATAGGAAATCGTTCTTCTTATTTTTTGCTTTTTATAAAATATATAGACCCATAGTTACTAGTCAAACCTGACAGCTCCTAATAATGTGTATATACGTATTAAAGAGACAATGCAGAAGGTAGACAATAGCGATGATGTCCGTAAGAGAGACATAGTTTGGCGAGTAACCACCCGAAGCAACTGGTGTTTAATAGATCCGTGTGATTATCCAACCCACCATAAACAAAGTCATGAGGGGAACAGAGTCATGCGATATACTTTATATTAAGTAATACAAGGGTTTTTTTTCCATTAACTAGATGGTGATAGGCAATTGAAACTGTAGAACGTGATATAATGTCTGTATTATTATTATCCGTGGATGATGATGACGAAGGACAAAAAGAAACAAAAAGCCTTCAGTACTTATATAGGCCGAAGACAAAAACGAGTCCGACTATCACGATAACAGAGGAGCTCGGAATTCTCCACCTCATAGAATGGATAGCTAAGTCTAGTTATTTCGACTGGCTGTATGATCACGGTTATTTTCATCGAAGTCTCATGACACTAAAGCTAACTGAGATGATAATAATATTTAATGATTCTTCAACTGTATGTTACACTTCTCTACAGCGTATTAAAAGGAAAATCTACAATTAAGCTATAACGTGTCTTTACTGTCTAGGTCAATTCTGATATTAAGCATGATGTTTTAAAATGCAGCTCATTTTACAGACGGTTTACAGGGCCCTTTTAGGTGCAAGCTTCAAACGCTAGCCTGAAACATACTGATGTTAAAGTCGCGCAATTGAAAATATTGATTTGTCCAAAACTTATACTAAAAATACGGAACTTACAAAACTTAGAATGCTTGTATTTGGAACTTGTAGTTTCCTTACCCGTTTAAAAATTTGCTGTACTATTTTAAAGATTCGTAAAATACAATTCGAAGATCTTGGTCATTTTCTCATAAGTGGAGTTCGGTGCACAAGTCCAAAATCTTCTGTTTTTGAAATGTAATTACTAAACCTGCTTCTTCAATTGGCCAGGAAGTAATTGTACTGCATCGTTGAATTCTAGGTATAGTTTAACCTGAAGCTTATACGGTGTTTCTACCTATGCGTTGCTTCTAAAAAGTTCAATAAAAGTTTATAAAATGAAATAGTTTTAATCTGACCTGAGCTACATCCATTGCGAGTTCCTTGACACTAACTTCAAAATGCCAAACGCGAAGCTACTGCGTCAAAAGGAACAGTTTTGCAGCAATTGAATAATAGAAATAAAAATTCATTGAAATTCATTAAATCTTAAACTTTTTAAAGCTTACGGAAACATATCCAACACGCCAAATTCAAAGTTTGCCGCGCATTTTCGGATCAACGTATTGCGAAAATCGTTTATTATTGACTGCTTTTTTCTCGGGCAAGAGTGGACGCCGGTTGTTTTTAGATCTTGGAAATATCGCAAAATCAAGGCTTGCGAAAGCGATGCCTTTATGTATTGCTCTTTCTGACGTGCAACAATTAGGCGTTGTTCTCTCCGACTCAAACTCATGGGTCAAAGTCATGGGTGCCGGGATATCTCCATAGCAAGATGTACCGACAGAGTTCATCAATTGAAGCATTGATTTGTTCCTTTCACTCATGAAACCATAACATTAATAAGAAAAGTGTACTACACATAAAACGTAAGTTAATGATGGTTACAAATAATAGCTTCTGTGTGTATCGTGCTTAGGTGCTTGCATTAAAAGCGACCTACGTAATAACAAATTGATAACAATATTATTATTAGTATCGAATTTTTTAAAAGATTTGTCATAACAAACTGTTTTAGAGGAGAAACTTACGCAACGCATTTTGCAATACATTTCATATATTTATCGCACAGACAATTGTTGTAAAAAAGCATACGTATTATGGCAAGAAATCCTAAGGAAATAATAATGATTACGATAACAATTATGATGAGTATAGTATACCGATATGAAGGGTGCACACAGCTAACTCGATTAACCGCGAGACCAATGTTCTCTTTGTCGTCATGATGAGGTCTCTTGAATTCAAAGCACAGTCTAAATACATTAAATTCGTAAATCCGATACGTGCTCTACAAAATCGACTATTGAAAGTAAATAATTACTATAAATGTAATTCATCTTTGCTTACTTAGCTTGCAAGTAAAAATAACTCCAGGTTTGCGTTGTTGCACAGATATACGTACAAAGCCTCTAGCTTTCACTTCCAAATCTAGAAGCCTAAACGGAGCTCACTAAATATTACACTCCTTATCTTATCCTTTCAGATGGATTACGAATTTAAGGTGAAAACATCAGCCGAACGAGAGAAGGTAGAAGATCAGTTTGACTTCGAGGGATGCAAAGTAGGTCGAGGTACTTACGGTCATGTGTACAAAGCTCGCCCAAAGGACAGCACGGACAACCGAGAATACGCCCTTAAGCAAATCGAAGGAACTGGAATATCTATGTCTGCTTGCCGGTAACTCGTCAACGGTTATTTCTATCATTTAAGAAATGTGTATTTTTATGTGGCTAGTATATACCAGTTGTATGAAAAGATCATATACAATTTCAAATGTTTTTTGTCTCTTTATGTACTATTGTCTCTTATTTGACGATGACGATCCCGGTTGCCAAGCATCACCCTGAATGATTTAACTAAAGAAATATAAAATGCAAATTCTTTAACCATTAAATAGTTGATTTTTTTGCTGTCAACAGGTAAGCGAAATTATTCACAGGATTACACAGCAAAAAAAAAACATATATATTATCGCTTCACGCGTACTTGTTCTTAATTTTATTTAACATTTGGTAAAGCTTTTAGTAAGTTACTTTTCAGTTTCTCAACCATGCCAAACCGAAAAAGCAAGCTTTTATTCAGCAGAACCTTACTGTCCTCTACCAACTAAGCGCAGTTAAGCTAATAACAGCTTTATCTTTATGGCTTTGCTTTTCAGAGAAATTGCACTTCTCCGCGAACTAAAGCATACGAATGTTATCAATCTTCAGCGAGTGTTTCTGTCGCATGCTGATCGGAAGGTTTATCTGTTATTTGATTTTGCCGAACATGACTTATGGCACATTATTAAATTTCACCGAACCGCCAAGGCTAATAAAAAAACTGTCATTACACCGAGATCAATGGTAGTAATCCATGTTTTATTTGTCATTTTTTGATATTATCCATGGTTCCTGGTAATTTTCATAGAAAAAGTGTTCTTTTATTTAAATACACACACACATATATAAGCCTGTTTTTTAAAGTCTATAACGACGTCATCAAAATAAAAACTTTTCTCATATGCTTTTGCCGCTTTTCGCAGGTGAAATCGTTGCTATATCAAATCCTGAACGGCATTCACTATTTACATTCAAATTGGGTACTTCACCGTGACCTGAAGCCGGCTAATATTCTCGTTATGGGCGAGGGTCCCGACCGGGGCAAAGTAAAGATCGCTGACATGGGATTCGCTCGACTCTTCAATTCACCTCTAAAACCTCTGGCTGATTTAGATCCTGTAGTAGTTACCTTCTGGTATCGTGCTCCGGAACTCCTCTTAGGTAATTATATGTTGTGTAAAATATTCATTGTTTGCGTTCATTCAATAGCAGTAATCACTCTACTACATGTTGATCCTGATCAAGCGTTCTTATACTTATTCTTATAATACGAAGATTATTTTGAATAGGTGTTTAAAGGTGAAGTTCTCCACCTTGTATTGTTAATTCCAGATACTTAGGGACCGAGTTCTAAATTTTTGCTCAGCTAGTTTATACGTTAAAGATTTCATTTTGTTGACTTAAGACCTTTACTTATGAATTTGCTGGAGTTTTAATTTCTACATTGGTCTTTTATACTGTAGGCGCTCGCCATTATACGAAAGCAATAGATATTTGGGCGATTGGATGCATTTTCGCTGAGCTTTTGACCTCGGAACCAATATTTCACTGCCGGCAAGAGGACATCAAGACGTCAAACCCGTACCACCACGATCAGCTCGATCGCATTTTTAATGTTATGGGATACCCAGTTGAGCGGGACTGGGAAGACTTGAAGAAGATGCCGGAACATCCCACCTTAATTAAAGACTTCAAACGATCATCGTACGCGGGATGCTCGCTAAACAAATACATGGAAAAGCATAAGGTACAAAATCCTTAAATTTGCTTGACATGTGCATTTTCCCGTACAAGATTCATTGGTGGTAAAGTAAATTTATAAATAATTTATATTCAAAGAAACTATTGATTGTGACTTCATGGGTGATGCCTCTGACGACAAGTTTTTAGTGTATCACGACGATTGTCCTATTTAGTGTTTCTCCGATATTTTAACCATTGCGTCCTTCATGAAAGATTTTCACGTTATCTAATTTATATGACTTCTTGGATCGTAGGTGAAATCCGATTCAAAAGCGTTCCTACTTCTTCAACGGCTTCTTCTGATGGATCCGACGCGTCGGCTAACATCTGAACAAGCGATGGGTGATGCCTACTTCCTCGAAGACCCGTTACCTACAGCCGACGTATTTGCCGGGGGGCCGATCCCGTACCCCAAGAGAGATTTTCTCACAGAGGAAGATAACGATGCAGACAAGGCAAATGCGCAACAGGCAAACAATGACAAGGTTTGTTAGTTTGATATTCTGCTCAAATACTGTTATCAGCTTTATTTTGATTCCTTCCATAACCAATAAGCGCAGTTCATATGCGAACTAAATGTCCATTCCAAGTGTGTAAAAAAATCTTTCTAGTCTGTCGCAGTTTTTTAACTTCATGCTTTTGTTGTTTCCACTAATGCGAAATCTTATCGTATATAATGATTATATAAATAATCATATTTGTCGTGTAGTGTATGTCATGTTATGCGTAACAGGTTTCGCCTTTAATTGCTTGCAATGACAATTATTGATTTGTTTTCTATTATCACAGAACGCTGCGGATTCAGGCCCAAATGCCAAAAGAGTCCGTTTAGGTCCCGGCCCACCGCCTCAACCGCCACAACCTCCCCAGCACAACTACCCACCCCAACGACAGTTCTAGCCCCTACGACAGGATCTGCCCGGGCATCATCAACGGATAAAAGGCCAATCTCTGTCGGACCCACATGGCCCACCGTTGGAACAGCGAAACGACACTAATGTTGACCGCGATGAAAACGACGGAAGTGCGGATGATGTCTGAGTCACCTAACACATCTGAGCAAGACGCATGATGTCGGGAAAGCTCAGAATTCGCTCATTCCTAATATTAGAAAGAAGAAGTTGGAAGTTGTGAAATTTAACAAATAACAAGTCGTCAACGTATTGGTGCTGCAGAAAATTGCTGAATAATAACCACTAAGCGTCTACACTCTTCACTTGGATGAAACTGTCACGTGCCGACAAAGGGCCGGCGTGTCAGGAACTGGAATTTCAATTATAATTATAGCCGTGATTATAATAATAACAGTGGTAGATTCGCTCGTCGTTGTCCAGCTGGTGATGTTTTGGCAATGCTTGAATTCAGCTAGTGGTTTATAAATGGATCAAGCATTTATATGGCCCCTTTAGCTGGTGTGTACTTGAAGCGTCAATGTGATTATATATATAGGTAGTAAGGGTCGTGGACGCTGCGAACGTAATTAAAAATGCGAGGTGTACACTAAAAAGGCACAAGCAGGTTACAAGTGGGCACTTCTTTGATGCCGATTGTTTGGACTACCCATAGAAAATGGATCTTAATGACTGAAATCTATCTCTTTTTCGTAAGGAAGATATCGATACCGCACGAGTTCCTTACATTTTTTTTTTCACTTTATATTTTCCATATACACGTATAATTTTTCAAATTCAGTATTTGTGTCAAGCGTCCGTCGCCACATATTGTTAAACTTCGAACGACATAGAAATGCGATAAGCATGCAAAAGAATCACCGCATTACGGAAGCCATCCAGAAATGTGTATGGTGTGCTTAAAGTTACATATATATCTATGTATTATAGACCTATAAACATAAATTTCACCGAATGAGTGTAACGTTATTCTATTGCCGTGTCTGAACGCTAAACAACAGATACTGTTTCAGAGCTACTAGCCTTAAATATGGCGTTAGGCTGTGTTACAACTAAAGCGATTGTTAAAACAACTGACCTATGATGTACGCAAATGGGCTTAATGTTATCAGTTCGTTGTGATGTATTAACAATTTATTGTGGAAACATTACATAACAAAAACAGGTAGTACTCGGTAAATTTGCGAACTTCGGAAAATTCCTGGTCGAAGAAATGGAATTTTCCTTATTATTTTCCTCGTAAGCTTTAAATTTAAGGGCTATGTTCTGCATCAGCCGGGGTGTTTCATGGAATCTTTCTACTCTTGTTCTTGGCTTTGGCATCAATGGAGACAATCCAACCGACCGAGGTTATGGCTTTCGTAGTATTTAGTAGTAGACAATGCTACATGGGTTCAAATGCAAATTGCAGTTATAGGTAGTGAAAATAATGGAGCCACTATGTGATACCTCATTATGCATTCGGCACGGTACTCCTTCTTTCGAATAATATAACCCAAGTAGGCTAAATATTATCAAATATCAAGTGATACGATTTTTTATTTTAAAATACAATAGACAGTCCAGTTAATTTTTATCCGGAATTAATCTTTAGTATGAAAGAAAACTTCTAACAGACTTAGCAATTGATTTTATCAACCGATGACTGTCGTAATCAATAAGGCAATCAGAAGGCACTGCATCACCTCCCAAACTAACACCCCCTGGTGCATCATGAAAACTCTAGCTCGTTAGCATTAATAACACAAACTTGATAACAATTTGTAGTACATGTCTTAGAATACCTTGTTCGATAACGAAGGCGTTATAATATTATTTTACTATTATTTTATACAATAGACAGAAGCGGGCTCTGGAAACGTGCAAGAACAGCAATTGTTGCTCATATATATGCACTTGCTTCTGCTTGCTGCCCCATATAAACTTTTTTTTTATACGTGCGTTATGTATGATTTAATGATTTTGGTTATTAATTTTGTTCTTCTCGTGTAGATTTTAATTAGTCTGAATTTCATTGACTAAAACATAAGTGGGACTCTGTCATCGTTGGGCCATCTACGCCCTTTCAGAAATTTCGACATACGTCAAAATATCTGTTTTAAATGCTGGAGCGTATTAATGTTGTGAAGCAATCGTACCCGAATGGTATAAAATATGTCGACGAATAAATTACGTTTACGGTACTCTTGCATCAATAGTTTTGTTTTTCAATTAAAAAATGTTCTGGAGATACTTTGTATGCAGATCTACACACATGTGAACAGGTCCAGACGTGGGATAAAATAAACCCGACGTCTGCTGACTCAGTGGGTTTTATTGCAATCGGCCAACACAGTATATTGCCGACGGAGTGTATCACACACTGCTACCGAGGTCATATATTTATTTAGAGCTTAACTCAAAACCTTATCTGCTGTTGCTTCAAGCTAAACTTGTCTTGTACGTTAATTACGAAATATTTTGTATAACAGAATTCCAGGCGATCTGTACTTTTGGTACCCTGTTTTTATTAGGAATTACATAGAGCTTGTTGGCCACGCTGTTATTTCTGCTCATTATCCTTAATCTAGTTAAATGGCCCTAAATCCTTTGCTAGCGTGAATCTCTTCTGGGTAGGTTTCTTCAACTCCTTGAACAAACTTCCGGATGTCAGCCTCAAGAGCATTGGGTAATTCGTAAGCAGCAAAATGTCCGCCGTCCTTGTGATAATTAACCATTGTTAGATTCGTATACGTGTCCATTACAAGAGCCCGTGGGGCGCATACTAGATCATGCGGGAACACACTATACCCAGCAGGAATTCTCACAGACTGCCTGTAAACAAATAATGATATATTAAGTTAGTTCAAATAAATAACTTTTAATTTTTTTCGTCATACACTGTGGCTATTTATTTTATAACAACGGGTCCTTGGAATAAGCTTTTCGATGCACTATCACGTACTTATCCCATTAAATAGTAGCCGTGGTGGGTCTTGCTAGGCTTATCTAAGTCTTCTCAAACAAATCTATAAAACAGTATGGCAACCATTTGACAACTCGCTTCTGCTAGTCTATCATATGTAACGCTGGTTATCTTTCCCCCAGTATCGAGATTATCGAATCTTAAATATTGGACATTTAGATATATATCAACATACGTATGCCTTTAGTCTACCCCAGATGTGCGAGTTTTTCGTGTGGGTTAAGCAACAGGTTTCGGTTTCACTAAGTTTTCTATAGATAACGCATAAGTCAAAACAAAAAAATTCTGATGTTCCGCGGAAATAAATGCGCTAGTGTTCTCGACAACTTACTTGAATAGCTGCCTCGTTAAATGAGAGGAAACGTTTTCCTTGTAGTATCGTTGTGAGGATACGATTGATCCAGACGAGTAATAAACCATCACATTAGTAAGAAGCTCGTCGATGGTGAACTTGTTGGTTAATCCTCCATCTTCTAAAAGGCGGAATTTATCACTGGTCCACGTTGAAAACTTCTCCAGAATGTACGCAGCTAATCCAGCTGGCGAGTTCAGGAGTGCAAAGCCTAAAATACATGTTTTTATCATTGCAGAAAATAAGAATAAGTTCAAGCCTATTAGATAAAGCCTATCATATATAAGCTTATAATATGACACGCTTTATCTAACGAAGATATTTAATTGAGCATATTGCAATGGCGTGACGTTTCGTTCTATTCTAATTGGTTGGGCACAAATAATTTAATTAAGCACGCAAGTTTCATCAAAATCGACTAGATTTTTGGGTGGCTAGACTCATACGCTATAACCGCATGTCCCAATGGTTTATATATACATGTATTATACTTACCGATGGTATCGGGCTTTGTAGACTGGATGTGGAAGTAGCCTGATTCGCGTATAAGTCGGAAAAAGAATCGGCTAAAAGGTATAGGCATGCAGAATGGCAATTCGCCATCTCCGACAATGTTTGGGAACCACGTAAATGCAATCAGTTTCAGTAACGTCCATGGGTTCTGATAGTTCTGGAATACGATATTGACGTGGAGTCCACGTAGGCTATGAACATGTGTAAACATTGATTAGTACAGGGGACGACCAAAATCCGAATTCTTAGAAGGGTACGAGTAATTAGCTTCAAAAATCAATGCCACTGTAGTCAACCTAGGGCGTGTAATGCACCAGGATATCCAAAGAGTAAAAAAATATTATCGTTAGAGAAGCAAAGTAGTTCCACTTCGGCCTTGTCATATGATTCATTTGAATATTTAGTTTTATTGATTTTTTTGAAAGTTCATCGGAATATGTGAAACAATATTAGAAATCCTACCTGTCGGGGTAGAGGACTCCCATAGCATTTACAATCGCAGCTCCCCAATCCCCGCCCTGTGCGTAGTATTTGCTGTAGCCAATGCGGGACATAAGTTTTTTAAAGATACGCGCTGTCGTCAACACGTTCATGCCTGTTTGGAGCATTGATGACAAATCAGTCCTGTTTTTTAGCACTATTACTTGCACTTTTGTTATTGTATACGTAGTGATATGAGCCTCTGGTTAGTAATACAAACAAATCTGACCTTGCTTCCTGGAAGGCTCCGAATACCCATAACCAGGAATAGAAGGCACGATAACATCGAACGCGATCTCGTCAACCGGCTTGGAAAGTTGACCCGCGATTTTAAGGAACTCAACAAAGGAGCCTGGCCAACCGTGAATTAACAAAAGTGGAATAATCTTTGTTTTGTTATCTGTCTTTGTTGGAGCGCTGCGAAAGAAGTGAATCTTGATACCTGAAATTAACATAATTCTCGTTTACAACTTTCTGTATGTTCACCGTTCGGAGGTATGTATTGAAATTCACTTACATTAAATGTGAAAAATTAAGGAATAACATAACTTAAGGGTCAGGTACAATATTCAGTTTGCTAATTTTATCAGCTCGTTGTGCAAGTATGGTTCGCCAGCGTGAATATAATTACGCTCCTTGTCTATAATATGTTTAGTTACGCTTACAGTAGGAGTACTGATGCTAAAAGATTTTAGCTCTAGACTAAAATAAACAAATATGCCTTGAGATTTGGCATGCAATAGCCCGAGGGCTATAACATGAATAAAGACACCCACCAAACAATAGTATCATTCGTCGAATTTATGTTACATGTAGGTAGGGTGTACAATGGACCTGCTACTCAACAAGGGACTACCGAAAAATGGTCTTCAATAATCCAGTTAACATGACTCACCTTCAATTTGGGTCTGATAGTGTGGGTAGGAGTTGATTGCAGCCTCGGCCTTCTTAAAGTCATATTGGTTTTGCCAGTATTCGATGATCTTCCGGAACGAATTTGGATTTACGCCGTAATGATATCTGGCATCTTCCAGGGGTTCTACCCATTTCGTTCGCGCGAGCTCCTGCTTGAGAGAAGTTACTAACTTATCATCAAACGACACTTTGTAGTTGTATATTGCCTCATCATCCCCTGGTGGTGTAGTTCCTATAAGAGAATATACATTTACAGAACGTAATTGGAAACTAATTAAAAAGTATTACCTACGATGATACGACGCTATGTAACAGTTTATGCATTTTCATGAAATCATAATTTCACAGAAAACAAAGTGCCCCTTGTGGATTAAGGTGGGCGGCTGCTAATCTGTTATCCATCCATACCCTATAAATTTTACCTACTAATAGCATGTTTCATGTCAAAAAGGAAGTAATGAAGACTTTATGCGCCAACCAACCTTTCTTAATAAGAGCCGGCCCCCAGTAGCCCGTTTCAGGCATATTCAGGGGTTTGATTGACTGTTGGTACCAATAACCGATACCAACGGCTACAAACCCTGCGAGCAGAGCTGAGAAGAAACCCAGTTTGAAGATACGCACAATACAACCCATCTGTTCTCATTAAAGGTCACATAAATACAAATAAACAGTATATTTAATTTATTCATTATCGCCTAACTCTGACGTCCATTTGCTCAAGAGGGTACAAAATGGGTGTAATGGCTCCTTGACAGATATATATGTATATATATATATATTCACCTACAATTGAAAGTTATTTATGTACTGTATACTGTCAAGACACTTTACCACACCTCGTACGTACATCACTTGATAAACGATATGAACATAAATAACTTTCAATCGTTAGAGATTACTTATATAAAATGCTAGAAGTCTAAACAAAATGTTGTACCCAGTGACACAACGTAAAAAGTTTTGCCAGGAAGAGATTTCAATTGGTCGGAATTAATTTCAGTATGTGGAGAAGAAACGAGCATATGCTTCCCGGATTACCAACGAAATTTCTATGGATTGGACAGTTATGAAGACTAGCTGATTTTTCGCTCACTACTGAGTCAGAAACGTTGTATATATATTTTAAAGGTTTACAATTTATTTCAGGTGTGAGCTGAAGTTTACAATGGAAATCACCTATTGTGGTGTTGCTCAATGGCTGTATATTTTTCATTATACCTAAATAATTGGGTGTCGAAAAATTCAACAGATTTTCAAGATGAATTCTACTTAATTTGAGAATTTTCATACTGTTATTTAAGCCATATCTATATATATATATGATCACCCTGTGTGATTCGAACCTTTCATTTATATTGTCATTTTAAGGTTTGCTCATGATACTGCTAGATATTTACTCTGCTCCTGGTGTCGCCCTGAATAACTGTCAAATCGACTAAAGTGTTGTCAACGAAACAATGTAAATCGAGAAGCGTCAAATTAGAAGTGTGATGCTTTCTTTGGTCTTTCGTCAATTATATCCCAAACACCTATTGCCGCGAGGCCGGCCACAGATGAGATGGTCTTTCGAGTTTTGACAATACTAAGCTAGGTTGAGCCTTTCAAACTGTACTACTAGATAGCACGCCTTCCAGGTTATTGTCCTAGATAGGAAGGCGGTTTAGACAAATACCAGTTTCAATTGTGGGTTAAAACTGATTTGCAGATACTCCTTTCAGCTCGGCTGGACAAAACCTCATTGTATCCTTTCAAAAGTCTTCTCAGTACTTGATGCTATAGTAACAGCCTAACAAATAGCATATTAAATGTTGAGAAACATATCAACATTTACGCCTTTGAAAACACAACTAAAGTTCTTCTCTTTCTTAGTTTCTTTCACTTCCTAGTTTGCCTGCCAAGCAAGGTTGGTTTGAAGTGTCAACCAAGCGAAGTTATGCGAAAAATATAAAAAGTTACTAAACATTATTGAGGTTCAGTGTATTGAAGTTCGTTCCAACTATCGTTTTAGGAAGTTTTTGGGTAGAAAGCTAAAGGCACCTTTCTAGAAAACGTTGTACAAAAAGACTAATAGGTGGTGAAAAGTTTCTGAGGAATGCTAATTATTAGCCTGTATGTAACACTCTCTGAGGTGGTATCTGAGACGGTCCAGTACAAATAACTGGATACCCAACTCAAACTATTACTGATTCGTATACGTTAGACACATGTATACTCTTTGTGCCAACTGAAGCAAAAAACTGTAACACTAAAAAATCCAGATTTTCAACGATCGCTTACCTTAGTTTCGAATATTTGAACCTTTATAAGGATTTCTTTAAGAAAACGTTTCCGTAGACTGTGAACTCTCAGAAGACGTAAAGCTAAGTCTTGGAAAATTTCCATATAAAAATAAATCTTGAAAAATTTCCGTATAAAGCAATGTTTCGCAAAGTGTTGCTATTGCCGAAAGCCTTTTGTGGTACGATAAGGTGGTGAACTATTCACTAACCACAATAAGCAAAGGTCGCTACGAGATCCATTTATATATTATAGGTCAATCATTAAAATCTTAGGTATGCTTAGAGGCTTAAATAGAGAGCTAGCTAAATTAGAGAGTTATTCAATTGAGGCAACATGGTTTTCTCTAAACCAATTGTGGCGGTGGCAGTCCTTAACGGCAGAAAAGTGTAAAGCGCCCTTTTGCCAAAACGAAATAAGGTCGTAATTGTATCTTCGGTTTCAAGCCAAAAGTACCTCAACGATGAAGCTTCATTGAGCCCGGGTCATTGCAAACTCGATTCACTAGTTTTTTTTTCTCCTTCGCAAGTTAGGAGTTCATCTAGGATACACACATATCACACGATAATGAGTGAGAATAGCTATTTCCATATGTTAGTTAACATAAGTTTAACCTAGCTTACTCTTATTACCCAATTATTAACGAGACAATATACTTTTTTAATGAATGTAGACGTTTGCAGGAAGGAAGGTTGTTAAATAGCTCGTGATATCTGGATCTATTTGAGCCCGTTCGCCTTTTTCTTTGAACTGCATCGTAGTTCAGATATGGTCTGGTGCGCAGTGGTCAACAGACCATACTTAGCCTGTCATAACTTAAATCACGAAGTTTCTATTCGAAAGTCGCCCATATGAGCTTTTTTCCGGTTGCCAAATACCAAAAATGTCAAACAAAGACAGCTACAAGCTGCTTCCTGATTATCATATGCACAAACTTTGCCGAATGTAGCATAAACACACACAAATTGTTCAAAATGTTTTTTTCATATATATATATATATATATATGGGGGAATATATAAAGCGAAAAGCAGGCGATGTGTCGGGTTTGGGCAAGGGATTAGTACAGAAGCGCTATGTTTGCTTTACTCAGTAAATATTCTGTTTTATGCAAATGGTGTTGTATTTTGATTTCCGTAAATGATGTCTTTGAAGCAATTGATTTTTGGTACTTGCTAGCTTCTGTATATTCGGTCTATAGCAGCAAGTATATTTTATGTGCTCATATTAAGTGAACGTATCCATTAATGAGCTAAAAGAAAAGCGGAGGACCTATGACAGCAACAGGAGCCCGTTTTGGAAAGAAAGGAGGACCTATGATTCTCTCCCAGTAGCTGAGAAATTCAAAAAGCGGAAATTTTTGACTTACCATATTAATATTGTCAAGCTTATAAATATTCTTTAGTAAGACCATTACGAAACCCAAGAAGCCAGTATAAAAGTCACACCCTTTATGTTTACGAAGGTCCCTGAATATTAAAATAGTATTAAGGAGTACGTTCTTGACTGAGAGATTCAACTGAGACGGAACGCGACATTTTTTTTTTGTTACAGTAAAGACATGTGATTATTTGATTTTTTTTGCAAAAATTGTCACTCATGAGGATAAATATACTCACTAATGACCTATCAATAAAGTGAAATTAAATAAAGCTTATTCCTTTTTTGCAAGGTGTCGCGTAACGAACTCAACTACTCATTAAAATAGCGAAGATTCGTCTCCCAAGACATACTACATTATAATATTCCGTTTCCATTTCAAGTTCATCAAATTATTAAGATTTGAATCTTTCGTTCTTAGTTTAACTAGCAAGCTCACAGCAAATTTGCTGCTATTACGTTGATCCATGTTGTTAAGCTAATTAAGTACTTCGTGATAATATACGCATAGCTCATCTGAACATATTAAAATGTTACGCCACAAAAATCCAGTAAGCGTTTCCCTGTTGGAACTTTCAACGACCTTTATTTATACTATTGGATAGTTTCTACATATGTATGCAGTAGTTGGTACTAGTAGCCGCAGCTGGTCTCCAGCGTGCGAAGCCGTAAGTGTCTAGATTAATGTAGGCAAAAGAAGCCGGTAAAGTAGTTGTATAGCATTGAGATGAGAGGTGATTCGGAAAGTTTATCCAGGAAACGGCCCTTAATATTATAGTACAGCTTATATATATATATATATATATATATATATATATATATATTATGTGAAATGATGTCTCACCGTGCTTCTAGATTTGTAAGCCTTTAAAGGATTGGAGAAAAAACTTTCTACAAAGTTAACTGCTACTTACTGCAAATACAGTGCAACCTCTATACCGTCATGTAGATCACATCCAGCGCCAATTGCGGTGCGTGACAGCAGGCAAATTAAACGTCACCGGGTTGCCGACTTGTTCTAGCTGATTCGTGTTAGTTGACCTTCAACGCAGCTACGGACGACTCCGCTCCACCGATCGTTAGTGGACTTCCTCTTATAGTTGATGAACAGTCGCAAAAAACGGATAAATTGGTGCCCAACAAGGGAGAGGGAAGGATCGACAAGTTAAGGGGGAAGTCACAGGACACAGAGCTCTTTTGTGTAATGTCGGGCTTATGGAGCTGTGATGACAATGACAAGCACCAGTAGCAGAAACGCCAACAAAAATAACTAAAAAATCGACGACAAGAATGGACATCACTAGAATCGCCCCACAAAGCTGCGAGACTTGACTATTTCTAGCGAGGGCAAAATGGAGATAGTAGCGTACAAGCCAAGAGTGACTCTCCTTGCCTTTAGCAAGAATAAGAAGCGAATGGGCCAACCACGCTATTAAAATGCCCTTAGTTAAGAGGACAGATCCGGATTCACAAACTGCAAAACACATCGGTAAACGATCGACGGCAACAGTAACAACTATGAGGTTACGTGAAGACATTCATAATTACAGCGGCATATAGGCTATCCTGTAACTTTGGACAAACGGAACGAGATTTCTTATCGTTTTGTATAGTTCTGAATTGAAAAGCAATCTTCTTGTTAAGAACGTTGCCGTATAACTTAGGACTTTGGTTGGCAAGGGTTTTTTACGCATATGTAATCTCAATTTTGACAGGAACATGTAGTGGCCTGGGGTTAAGATACAATGCAATCTACAAACTTTTGCAATTGCTTTTATGTTTGTCTCGCGATAAAAGGCAATCAAAAATTTGGTCAACAATACCCATTGTTTTTGTGATAGCACAGCGGGTAACGTGTTTGCCTACTAAATTTCTGGCCATCATCGAAATTGGGCGTGCTCAGGGGAACCAACCGTCTGAAATAATTCTTAATGGCAATATTGTAGATAACTATTTGAAATAACCTTTTTCTTGGTGACAGCCCTTATAGGCTGAAATGGGGGCACTTACTCTTTTTGCTCGAATTATCGAGACGAACAATATCGACGGTTGTTTGTACTCCGAAAATGTTACCACTTTTTTGTTATATGTTGTTTTTATACATTGTTGCCCCGTGTATTGTTGTGCCCCATTTCTATAGGTCTTAAATGAAGAAAAATACTTGATAGTTAACGAGACATAAGTGATCGGTTCTAGTGTATTTTAGTGCCAAGGCAGGACGACCTTATTACAGCTGCAAATCATACGGCAACTGTCGGACTATGACAGTAAGTTACGTCTGATACGGTTGCTCCATAATTAGACTATGGCTAAGTTGTAAAACCTTGATTAAGTAGAGAGGAGTTTATTTAATTGATTACCGGGCCATTGCCCCTATTAAGGAGCAATAGACCTCATATTGAAGGGCAATCGTTGTCGGTGCTGCTGTGCTGAAGACAACCTACTTACTAGTCAATGACGGGATTTTTTGTCAGGTAATTTAAAAAAATCTTGGTTATCTGATGCAAAGTGAGTAACCGCCCACGTCTCAACTGATCTAACAAAATAAATCATATGAAAGAAATTCTTGTTGAAGGACCGCTTTGGTGAGGCCGGGTACTAAGTTATTTACGTATCATGTTAAAAAAATAGCGATCTTGGCTAGTTACTGATAAGCATCTGCTTCTAAAAATAGACCCACGAGGAACTTCACCTTACATCATCTACTTTCTAGTGTTATGCTTTACTGTGCCGCCTTGGGGTCAGTGGTATCGTCAAGACAATTCTACAACGAGAACCTCTTTTCGTATAATGTCCACCAACGCTATATGTGAAGCAGTTTGCTAAGAAAGTATACCATTTCCCTACTGCTATTCCCAGCCGCACGCTTCGTCTGAAGCACGTTTCTACACTTAAGAATATCAATTTCCTTCATATATATATATATATATATATATATATATATATATATATATATATATATATATATATGATATATGATGACATAGAATGAGATATAACAAAAATAATAGTTGGCTATGACCGGAGGATCTGATTAGGCATTGATTTTATTTAGTACTGCATATAGCCCAGTTAGCAACCGCCTTACCGATGATCGCTGAAATGCACTAAATGAATTAAACCTTGTAATACACCTTTCGCTACTTTTATCTTCACTACATATTGCATTACTCTGGATGCTGCATATCTAATTTTTCCTATACATAATAATTTTAGTTCCGTTAACAATCAACGTTTACGCAAACTTTGGCTTGCTAGCGTACTTAATGGATAAGAGTCATTTTGGCATTGGTATATCCGCATACTTTGGGCGGAAACTGCGTTTTCGGTAAGATCCCACTTTTTACGTCGAAGTTAGAAAGAAACTTATGTTCTAGAATCCGAAAGATGTTTATTCTCGTCTAGTGACACTAATTATCGCAGCGTAGGTATTTTCGATTTTGCTTCAGGCCAAGCGTGCAATTGGGAATGGCAGTAGAAAAATAGTATACTTAACAAACTGCCTCACTTATAGCGTTGCTGGACATTATACGAAAAGAAGTTCTTGTTGTAGAATCGCCATGACGACACCACTGAGCCCAAGGCACAGTGAAACATAATATTAGAAAATAAATGATGCAGGATAAACTTTTTCGAGTCGACCGTCTTTCAAAAACCGGCGCTTCTCAGTAGTTAATGCCGAAAACCTTCCCGAGCTGCCAGTCCGGCCGGTCAATTGATTACGGTAAATTTCGAAATTCTGCCGCGATTAACAGTAGGTACTGCTGCTTTACGAGTTAGAACTGTGACGTAACGCGTTGATTTAGAGGTAGTTCAACTGCTAACGGGCACAGGAGGACGAATTTTGGACTAATAAAAATTACCTATCTGTACATTTCTTTAAGCCTTTGGGTGATACTTTTTTATGTATGATTGATCATGTGAGTCTAAGTCTAATGTATGGGCCGGGTGTAGGCCTCGACAGTCACACCTTTCTGCCAAGGGCATTATCCATGTACTCCGATTCTTAATATTTTCTTACGTTTTTCTCTGAAGCAGGCCATATACTAATAGAATATCACACGTCCTTTCTTATTTATAATCTCGCAAAAAAAGAAAATGGGTTTTATTTATGGGACGAAAATACAAAAGCACCTAGAATAGAAACACATTCAAATAGTGTTAAATACTTACTAGACATACACACTATTGACTTGCAACCTTGTCCACAAAAAAGCCAGTGGTAAAATAAAGCTTTAGAGACCGAGTCTCTGTCGAAACTTACTCCAAGGCTGTGTAATGACTCAGCTTTCCTTTTTAAAGCATACGAAAGTCTGAAGCTTAGTACTGGCAGTACGATAAGATCAAACACGATTCCCCTAACAGGGCAATGGGGCTTACGACAACGGTGAGATACTGAACAAACGAACTTGGCCCATGGATTAACAGAAGTGAAGACACTCTCAGGCAGTCTAGGAAGTAAATGCTAAATCCTGAAATAACTGAAGTCCATCGAAGACGTAATCGAGAAAGTCGAATCTATTTAGATACGATCCCTGTATTAGTACACGTTAATTTATACACGGTAGCGCTCTGTAGTAGTATATTTATTAGGTAAACTGACCTACTAGTAAAGCAAAGTTCAAAAGTTTAAATTTTAAAGTTGGCCAAGTTCGCTTGTAGCAGCCTGACGTTTCGCGATAATCTTGCCGAATACACTTGTATTCCGTACGGGCACGAATGCCTGTACACGTATGCCTAATAGTATTTTAGGTAGTAGGTCTAGTGACTTACCTCGTTATTGGTCGAAGTGATCGTTCAATGACGTTTTGCCATTGGTCTTTGTTTCTCTACCACAGCCTAGCGTAACAAAAGTTCTGGCTTTGACAAAGTGCTTACATGTTTAGTGTCCTACACACGGCCTTGCCACCGGATATCATTTCAGACGATTGGTGTGTTAGCACGAAGCAGATTATGTCGGCACCTAGTCTCGAACCTCCAACATTTTGCGTGGTTCTATGATTAATAGGCAACTATCTCACCATTACACTATCTTTGAGTCGGTAGCAAGGCTGAGATCATAAACCAGTTCGGCACATATTGTGAAAAAATGTGTCTGTTTACATAGCTGGAAGGATGGCGATGACTTTAGGCATTAGATTGCCAAGAAACGTGTTCGGAAGCAGAGGGTGTCAACTCTAAGATGAGAAAGAAATGCTACCATATACCAACCGTGTTGCAATATACCTTCAAGTTTAAGTGCGTACCCATTTCCTTGCTAGAAGCAGCTGGACGCCAGAAGAATCCAAGTGCTAGCGAAGGTTGAAAATTACATGCCTTCTCCACTCTGGAATATTAACCACCTTTAATTTGCATTTTGTTATGTGGGAAACCTTATTCCGCTAATAGTCGATAACTTCACAGAAGTTGTCAAAGTTAATACCTGGCAGTTTTTCTGTTGGTCTGAACGATACCTTGGAACGCTTAGCAAGAGAACTATTCGTTACGTTATATATAAATACCATGTCAAAAACTTAATTGTAGGATTATAAATGTTATACGGTAACATTTGTACTCATACAGGTACGTTTAATTAGCGTAAATACCATTTGCTACGGCAAGTACTTGACTAGATTATTATTTTTTCTATCTGTTTTTTTAATGCGTTATTTGGTTATCGCGTTCTTTGTATGAAAATACGGACATTAAGGATTCACTTCAGTGCCCCACTACTGTTCACCCATGTTTAGATGAATGCGTAAAGACGAACCCAGTTTCAGTAAAAAAGTTAATTCCCTAAATACGTCAGATTGTCGGGGGCAAGCAATAGAGCAGCACAGTGGAAGCAGGCTGGGTAGGCTCAATACCGAAAGGTCCGTGGATTAAATGTGTGCTCTGCTATTTACCTTTTTTTTTTTTGATACATTTTACTTCAATATGTGAACCTTCATATGAGTTACTTAATAATATAT